CCCCAAAACCCCAAAACCCCAAAACCCCAAAACCCCAAAACCCCAAAACCCCAAATTTGTATAATTACTTAAAATGTCCTCACAGTTGCCAACTTATCAGATATATATCCTGATGTTGATGATGCTTCTATTCGGAGCAACCAATACAATTATTCATAAATTCCAGAATGAGTTGAGAACCAAAGATCCTAAGACTGGTGAAGACATGAAATACAATCATCCCTTCTTCCAAGCTTTGTGCATGTTCATTGCTGAGTTCAGCTGCCTTGTCATTTACAAGATCTACGAGTGGAGGCAAAACAAGAAACACGGAGGAAGGGATAACAACCCTAGTATCATTGAAGCCAAGAAGCAGGGTAAATAAAACAGAGATCAACGTGTTCTTGTTCATCATCCCGGCATGTTTTGACATCATGGGGTCAACACTTCAATTCATTGCTCTCACAATGATCGCAGCAAGCATCTACCAGATGATGAGAGGCACTTTGGTGTTTATCATTGCAATCATGAGCATCATATTCTTGGCTAGGAGGCTGTATCGGCATCACTGGAGTTCCCTTGCTGTCATATTTGTGGGGCTTGCTATGGTAGGAGCCACCCCTCTGATCTTCCCCGACAAAGATGACAATGATGAAGATAATCAAGCTCTTTATGTCATTATAGGGATATGTCTAATAATATTCTCTCAGTTATTTACAGGCTGTCATATGATTACTGAAGAGAAGTTGTTCCATAATTACTATCTCCATCCTTTAAGAGTGGTAGGATGGGAAGGACTCTGGGGAGTCCTCATTTACACTATTCTTTTGGTAATCCTCCAGTTTATCCCATGCCATATCGATAAAGTCTGCCCACACGGAACGATTGAGGACACTCCTCAAGCCATCAGAGAATGGACTAGGAACGATGGGTTATGGATCACAACCATCGTATATGTTATCTCAGTGGCTGCTTTTAATTGACTCGGAGTTTCCATTACAAAATATGCCAGTGCTGCTCAAAGATCCACTATCGACATGAGCAGGACTGCTCTCATCTGGGTCTTCTTCCTGATCTACCCTGGCAATGGACACGAAAAGTTTGAGTATTTGGAACTGATTGGGTTCATCTTGCTAATTGCTGGAACATTGGTTTACAACGAAATAGTGGTAATACCATTCCTGGGTTTCAATAAGAACACGAAAAAGGCAATTGCTGAAAGAGAGCCAAAAAGGGAGTCTGTTGATTCATATAGAAAGGAGTTACTTACCAATGAAGAGAATGATGAGGATTCTGCAATATAGTACCTGTGGATCTAATGTAGACCTAACTTGGATAACTACTTTTTCAACATCTCCAAGTTCTAATGGGGTTTTGGGGTTTTGGGGTTTTGGGGTTTTGGGGTTTTGGGGTTTTGGGG